GTGTCTGTCTGTCTGTCTGTCTGTGTCTGTCTGTCAGTGTCTGTCTGTCCACGTCTGTCTGTCCACGTCTGTCTGTCTGTCCACGTCTGTCCACGTCTGCCTGCCTGTCTGTCAGTGTCTGTTAGCTCATTTTTGTTTTAATCTGGTGCGTTCACGGTCTGTTTCCATGATGGAGAAAGGAAGCTCCTTAGCAACAGTAACTAGGGCCGAGCTGCCAATGACCGCGAGATATGATGAAGATATCGCGAGAACACGGAGCGGAAACAGCCTGAGTCTGAAGAGAAGAACAACATGGACCTGGACCAGACCCGGATCAGAGAGAACCAGGGCCCAGATTTAACGGACCTGACCCGGATCAAAGAGGAGAACCAGGACCCGGATTTAACGGACCTGACCCGGATCAAAGNCCCGGATTTAACGGACCTGACCCGGATCAAAGAGGAGAACCAGGACCCGGATTTAACGGACCAGACCCGGATCAAAGAGGAGGACCAGGACCAGTTCAACATCGTGATTAAGGAAGAAAACCAGGACCCGGAGTATGAGCAGACCGGACTGGAGGAGGAGAACCAGGAGCAGTTCAGAGTTCAGGACTCAATGGTGACGTCAGAAACACAGTGTTGACTTTTATTAATGATAGTGATGATGTAATAACGATGTCATTAATAACATCAGTACTAGTAATAATATTTGTTCTGGAAGTTTTCTGGAAGCTGGTGAAAGAACAACTCGTGGAGTTTAATCTAAATATTCATTCATAAACCACATTGTGTCCTTACATCTGGACACTGGTGGAATTTAGAAAAGACTTGACGTTGGTGTCTCTGTCTGAGCATCTAAATTAGATATGAACGTCTCTGAGTGTGGACACAATGTTCTGCTGGTCCTTTATCTAGAACCTGACCTTGGTTACTGCTCAGAGAGAGAGGGAGGATCTGTGGAACTAGACATACTCTCCTGTCACTAGTGTATGGATATAAAGCAGCATTCACTTTATATAAACTCCGCTGTGTAAAGATCAGTGTTGTTGTTTACAGCTCGTCCACACCGGCATCGGCCCTCATCACCAAAACATCTGGAATCTCCTCCTCTTTCCAAGTGGACGTCTTCGTCTTCTACGTGTACGGCTCCTCTTCTTCATCCTGAGACATTTGTGTTCTTCCAGTTTCACGTCCGTCACGTGTTAGAAACCTCAGAGACACGCCCACTCGCTCACTGAGAAGGTTCCAGATGTTTCACTAGAGGCTGCAGGAGAAGATCCAGATGTTAAACTTAGGTCCTCACAAAGATATGAATACCAGTACAGACAGTCACATCTTTATTTTAAATCGACGTCCGTCCAAACTGTGTTTTAGCTCTGTATCAAAAGGAAACAGGAAGTAGATTCATCATCTATTCTGCAGTTGGTTGCTTGAGCGTCTTCAGACTGAAGTCCTCAGGTCTCTGGATCTTCTCTGGAGGACAGTGAGACTCAGTTTGTCTGTCTCCTCCTTCACTCCTGTATAAAGTCTAAGTCCAGGAGAAGTGAGGACACAGCAGAGCGTCCTCCACTGAGTCACTGAGGGACGAGTCTCTGGAGACGAGTCTCTGGATTCTACCTGCAGCTCATGTCTGAAAACAGCTTGAGTAACGGGAAATCCAGGAGGAGCAGTGATGGTGAAAAGTCAGAGCAGGGATTTGTTTTCTTGAAGCAATGATGAGGTGGAACTGTTACTGACAGGAAGTGTGAGCGACGCTGGTAGTCATGTGACTGATGAGAACCAATCAGGAAGAGAACGTGGGAGTGTGCATCATCGTTTACTAAACTCTTAGTTTGACCAATCAGAGCAGACTTCATCAGGAGGGGGGGCTTAAAGAGACAGGAGCTAAAACCAAGAGTTTGAGACAGAGGCTGAAGAGAGGAGCTGCAGCGGGTTTGATTCTTTCCTCTGACACTGTTTGAACACATGTGATGTTAAATAACTCGCTCCACCATAACATCTGACTCTCTCTCTCTCTCTCTCTGTTACCCTAGAAACACAGACACACAAATGTTCTTCACACCAAAGAGAGGAAGCACAGCTGTGAACAATGTGGGAACAGTTTCACCACGGCCAGTCACTTAAAGACCCATCAGCGTGTTCACACCGGAGAGAGACCGTACAGCTGTGGTCAGTGTGGGAAATCTTTCACGGATTCATTTCGATTAAAAACCCACAAACGCATTCACACCGGAGAGAGACCGTACAGCTGTGACCAGTGCGGGGCAGCGTTCAGCAGGTCGTGTTACCTTCAAATCCATCAACGTATCCACACAGGAGAGAAACCCTACAGCTGGGACCAGTGTGGAAAAGCGTTTGCCACGTCAAGTAAGTTGACGGTCCACCGACGCATCCACACCGGAGAGAAACCGTACGAATGTGACTTTTGTGGGAAGGCTTTTGCAATTCCGAGCAGTTTAAAAAGTCATCTACGCATCCACACCGGAGAGAAACCATATGTCTGTGGTGAGTGTGGGAAAGGTTTCAGTCGCTCGAGTATCCTGAAGATGCACCAACGCGTCCACAGCAGTTAGTCAGTTCACAGCCACAACTGTCGGAATATTGATTAACTTGAATAACACACGATGACGTATGACTGGAAGTTTGTAGAGACCCCAGCTAAATTAAAGAGCTTAACAAACACAGGTTTTACAAACTCCCTCAAATTCACTTGAAAATACTTTGTGGTTTATAAACACAAAACACACCCGACAAAGGAATACAACATTTTTACTAAATGATACTTCAAATAGAATGTGTTATAAATATACAAACAAATATATCCCATCAAAACAAAATCTATTGTTTTGAAAGTGCAATAATTGATAGTTTACAAGTACAAAAAACATCACGTGACTTTTGTCGCTAATATTCTGATTTTCTCACAAATGTCCTGAATAATTTCCCTCCAGGCCATAACAGCAGGTGGCGCTGTGAGTCAATATACAGTATAATATATTTTCCTACTTGCAGTAAATACATTTGTTTGGTAGTTGTATGAAATATTTTTTACAAATGTTTTTTACTTTGTCAGGTGTGTTTCATATTTGCAGTAGTTTGTGGGAGAGAATTTGTAAAACATGTTTTTTTTGTTTGTGAGACGTTGAAACAAACTGAGACAATGAGACAAACCGAGACAATGAGACAAACTGAGACAATGAGACAAACCGAGACAATGAGACAAACTGAGACAATGAGACAAACGACAATGAGACAAACTGAGACAAACTGAGACAAACTGAGACAATGAGACAAACTGAGACAATGAGACCACTGAGACAAACGACAATGAGACAAACTGAGACAAACTGAGACAATGAGACAAACTGAGACAATGAGACCACTGAGACAAAAGACAATGAGACAAACTGAGACAATGAGACAAACTGAGACAATGAGACCACTGAGACAAACGACAATGAGACAAACTGAGACAAACGACAATGAGACAAACTGAGACAATGAGACACCACCCACATCCAAATTTATTGGAAACATGAAGATTTGAACAGATTCCATCTGAAAGACGTCTCACTTCATTTTTTTTCTGTTTCTACAAATGAATGGAAAGAAGCCGAGGATCATGGGTAATGTTCACTGTTCAGTTGTGGTTCAGTTCAGCGAGTGGGACTATGCAGTCATGGCTCACCTGCCCCCCCCCCAGACATTTTAAATGAATATGAAATAAAGTAATATGTCTTTACAGTGATAGTACTCTCTACTGCAGTACTCCAAGTACTCATGTGTCCTTTATCATTTCCAGTTTTTTTATGGTGAGTTTTTATAAAGTCGATGTGTTTGTATATTTAAACAGAATCTGATGAAAAACCTACACATTCACAAAATATTCAGAATTTTAAATTCATGATACTTTTATTTAAAATGACGTCATGTTCAGTTGACCCAAAAGATGAAATTAAGTTTTTATTTTACTGATAAAAACCTTTTTGTGATTGAAGAATAAATCTGAATAAAAACCTGAGCACGAAAATGTCCCTCTGTTGTTAAAAGTTTTCTCTCTCTCTATTTACTGGGGGGGGTGATAATGTAATGAACGCTGAAGCATTCAACCAATCAGAGCAGAGTTGTGACGTCACATGCCTCCGACTGCTGCTGTGTTCATAAATCTCGGATATTCCGCTTTACGGCGCGGGGTGATGACGTCAGTTTGTCTTGTGATTATCAAACAAAGACCAGCTGTTTCCCCGAGTTCACAAGTTTGAACCCCAACTCCAGGTGCAGTCCATAGACTGTATATAAAGAGGTGCAGTCCACTGCACAAGGAGAAGGTCCGGAAACTCCGACAGCATTAGGACCAGCATGCATCTCGTCGAACGCTGATATCGCGGGAACACGAAGAACAAAGAGTGGCGCCAAAAAGAGTCCAGCTGAGAGAAAACATGGACCAGACCCGGGTCAAAGAGGAGGACCAGGACCCGGGATTCACGGACCAGACCCGGGTCAAAGAGGAGGACCAGGACTCGGATCAGTCCGCTGGTCTTCAGGTCAGTGATACGGTTCAGTTCTCTTACGTCATTATTCTTCCCGGAAGTAATAGCTAGCTAGTATCTAAGTGGTATCTAGTAGGTTAGCTAACACAGGTCAGCGCTAACACAGGTCAGCGCTAACACAGGTCAGCGCTAACACTGAAACGCTGCTGGACGTGTTTTTACTATGCTGTTATAACTTGGACATGAAAACTCACCCCACCCTGACTCTCTCTCTCTCTCTCTCTATCTGTTACCATAGAAACGGAGACGCACAAACACCCATCAGAGCACCAAACAGAAGAAACCGTTCCGCTGTGACGATTGTGGCAAAACGTTTACAACTTCAACTAATTTAAAGATCCATCAACATGTCCACGGCCAAGAGAAGCAGTTCAGCTGCGATCACTGTGGGAAAACATTTACGACCTCCAGCAGTTTACAGATTCACGAGCACATCCACACCGGAGACAAACCGTACACCTGCGACCAGTGCGGGAAAAGTTTCTCTCGTGCGTATCGATTAAAACAACATCAGCACATTCACACCGGAGAGAAACCACACACCTGTGACCAGTGTGGGAAATCTTTTGTTGAGCTCAGTTACCTGAAGGAGCATCAGCTCATTCACAGCGGAGAGCGAGCGTTCAGCTGTGACCAGTGTGGGGCAGCGTTCAGCACGTCACGCTACCTGAAGCTCCACCAACGTGCTTTTATTTTGGAGCTTTGTGAACTTTAAAAAAATATATATTTATGTTTTTAACCTATTTCTGGTTTTGTGTCAATGTTTGTATTTTTAATAAAATTTTATTCAGTAAAATATCAAATAATTCACGTCTTCATTTGTGATCATTTATGAACAAATATGATTATTAAATATATAGATATAATTACACCTTATATATGTCGTTAAGTATAAATGACCGCTGCAGCTTCTTGACACTGAAACATCGTTAATCAGTTGACGTCAGTGAAAGTGAAGCTTATTGGTCCTTAGTGAGTCTCTGCTGCCTCCTGCTGGCAGCTGCTTGTCACTGTGTCCTCTGATGTCACAGCTCAGACTGTTCCTAATAAAGTGATCAATAAGTCAATGTACGTGTGTACACACAGTTTGCAGATCAGTAACTGAATTGCTGCAGGTGAAGTGACATCAGACAGTGAAACAGGTTAAATATGGATTAAACAGTAATGTGAATATTTTCTAAACAGTCGGAGGATACAGGACAGTTCAGCGAAGTTGTTGCCAAGGCAACGCCGTGTTGTTGTCAGTGTTGAAATGGTGCCTCTATAACAGCAGGCTTTTATTTTGAAATAGGCGACTGATCAATCATCTGATTAGTATTCAAAGAATGTTTAAATAATAATATAATCTTTATATAAACTAATTGATTGTTCTCTCTCTGTCTATATATATATAATGATCTATAATGACTTGTTTCCTGATGAGTCGTAATCTTGGATTAGAGTTTATTGTGACTTTTTGGATTATTGATAAAATTGTTAAACAGCTGGACACATCACTTTAAACAAGAATAAATATTTCTCAGTATCTGAACTGAAGTCTCTCATTGGACGAAGAAATCTCCCTGTCTCCATGACAACGGCGAGGTGGTCGCCTCCATCCATGAAGAAGTCGTCTCCATCAGGTTTTTTTTTTAAAGAGCGACGTCCTCAGCTCCTCACTTCCTTCTTGGGGTTACGGGGCTTGTTGCCGAGCAACACATCCATCTCTGTAACAAGGGGTGGAGTCAGCTGGGACAGAACCTGAGACAAACAGGAAGAGAGAAAAGTTGACCAATCACAGGTCAGCGTGACACAAACGACACTTATTTTTATGTTTTTGAAATTTATTTTGTTCTTTTTATTTGTAAAATCGTGCTAATGGAGTAAAAGTACTTTTATTATTGATGATGAACAGTAGGAGGAGCTACTGAGCGTTACCCTGATAGAACCGAGGTTCTCCAGCAGCTGTTCCGTGTTGGAAACTCCGAGGAGAACCGAGCTGACGCCTTCACTGCGGAGACACCACGCTGACACACACACACACACACACACACACACATAATAAACCTTCAGTTGTAAATCACAGGTGAGCAGACAGACAGGAGCAGCGTACCTATAGCGAGTTGAGCAGGAGTGCAGTTCAGTCTGACGGCCAGCAGGTGAAGGTCTTTAATTTTGCTGAGCTGCTTCTTTCCTTCATCACTGCAGAGACGCTCCTTCAGCCACGCATAACCCTACACACACACACACACACACACACACACAC